CCCGGCACATCGCACTCTCACCTGCATTTCGCGCACTCGACACGCACCATCTCCGCAGAGGGTTGCGCGGGCACCCGGCGCATCGCACTCTCACCTGCATTTCGCGCACTCGACACGCACGATCTCCGCAGAGGGTTGCGCGCACACCGGGCAAATCGCACTCTCGCCTGCATTTCGCGCACTCGACGCGCACGATCTCTGCAGAGGGTTGTACTTTCGGTTGACGCTGTTCGTCCCGCACTCCGCCTTTAAGAGAGAATTTATAAAGTGGGGAAATGTTTTTTCATTAGGATATCTCCCGTGCTAGTTTTCCATACTCATCCATACTCACACTTGCCTGCTCATTGCATGCTTGCATACTCACCCTTGCATATCATTGCATACTCACCCTTGCATATCATGCTTGCATACTTACACTTGCATACTTTGACACTGGCATACTTCGCACTTGGATGCTTTCGCTCTTCCAGTGTGTGTGTGTGTAAGTGTGGAAGTGTCAGTGTGTAAGTGTAAGTGTCGAAGTGTCAGTGTTCAAGGGATTTTCCGGAAGAACCCTTCGCAATGCTTTCGGGAAAAACCATCAATCAAGACAGCAGCTGCCAGGGATTGGGTGCTGCCCCTAGCTCTGGGGTGCTATCCTGACATGGCTCCTGCTGCTAGCCCGTGGGCTCTGGCTGCTATCCTGACCTGGCACAGGCACAGGGTTTGAGGTTGGGACGTGGCACCTTGGCCGTGACGTGGGCTCTGGCTGCTATCCTGACGTGGCGCAGGGGTTTGGCGGTGGCGCAGGGTTTGGGGTGCGGCCAGTCCTAACGTCACTTTCGGAACCAATAAAAAACTATCAATCACCAGCACGGACCTGACGGAGGCGGTGTCGCCAGAACTCGGATATACCTTCTCTGACGCGCTCCCCCTGCTGTCTCAGCGGGGTCGGCGGATTACACCACTAGGTCGTCATGGTCTTGGTTCAAATTCACTGCCGCGCTACTGCCTACAAATGTTTATGGAGCAGGCCGCGCAGAATCCTTTCAGCGTCAACTGGCAGAGGCCAGTGATGGCCAGTGTACTCAGATCATTGCGAGAACAGCATCGTTTTGCATGTCTTTTTGCCGCAGGCCAAAGAGTTGTGGGATCGGGAGAGAGTAGCTGCCTTAAAAGCTGGGCATGGGCAGCATGAACATCAATTGCAGAACAGAAATAGCAAGCAAGGTGTTGAACTGAAGGTTTCAAGATGTTTCAAGATTGCTACTAGTATCAATTGCGTCGCTACTAGTAACACAAGGGTATTGCTACTAGTAGCTAGAAGCTACTAGGGGCTCCTGGCCTTGCTACTAGGAACAAAGGGCATCGCTACTAGGAGCAAGGACGCTACGAACGTAGCGATGGATGCTTACAGCTTTAGCTTTGCTTGAGGTGCTCCTCCAAGACCGGCTCCGTGCCTCCGAAGCTGCCTTGGCAGCGACCGGGCGCTCTTCATTGGAGCGGACCGAAGAGACCGAGGCCGCCATGGGTGTTGACGCGAATTGAAGGACGTGAGACGCGAGATGCTTGGCCTCCAACCTAATAGCAAAAGGAACCTAAGAGCGATGGCCTCCAACCTAGCAGTAAGGCCAGGAGCCCCTAGTAGCATCCTTGCTCCTAGTAGTAAGGCCAGGAGCCCCTAGTAGCGTCCTTGCTCCTAGTAGTAAGGCCAGGAGCCCCTAGTAGCATCCTTGCTCCTGGATTCTTTCACATTGGATTGGCAGGCCGTGCTTCAACGACAGCTTTCAGTTTTGCGACAAAGTGAGCAGAGCTTTGGGCTCAAGGATGTTTGTTTCACGTTCGGCTTGGAATTGGTTTCTTCAAACCGCTTGAAACTCTCCGCAGAGTTTGTTGCAAGAACAGGCTCGAAGAGACCTACCTTGTTTTCTGTCTTGTAGGTCTGGAAGCACAGGTGCAAAAGGAACAGAAATTCCGGGAGGATGAGTCGAAACGTTGGCCCCGAGCTCAGCTGTGTGAGATCTGCAGAGAACCCTTGGACACATCCTGGAACGTAGAGAATGGTTTGGAGCTGAAGTTTCCGCTTTTGCCCGAGGTCAGGCACTGTCACTGAGCTAAATGTGAAGATGGCAGACCTGAGGTAGGAAGCTCACCCGAAGTAGGTGACCGGATGACCGGATGGTGTCGGAGGTAGTCAGGCCAAGCAAACACTTCGGGTAAGGTGAGGAAAGCTGGGAATTCTTACAAGCCTCTTAGGTTGAGGGTTTCACCACTTGTTTGATGTTTCAAGAGATCGCATCAAGATTCTCTGAAGGTAGAGAGAGAGAGAGAGTGAAATGAGACACTTGCTTTTTTTCTTCTATTAGGGTTCAAGCGTGCAGGACCGAACTGGATGCTTCGATCAAAGATGCTGAGACAAAAATTCAGGACCCCCCCGGCAGATCTATGGCAACACAAGAAGACATGAGTCATATGAGTGTGTTTTTCGTCCTTTTTTTAAGACGTAGGACCTAGTTTTTTAGTTTTTTTTGGAACCTACTAGTAAGGTTCGGAAGAGTTCGCCGCCGCGTGTGAACAAAGAGTCCTAAAGCACCATGGGTTGGTCTTTCTACTAAGGTAGCACACTGGTTTAAATTTGTGCCTGAAACTGTTCCCTGTAGACCAAAGTTCAGGGACTTCTCGACAGTGAGAGATCTCAGAATGGGGTATTCATGTGGATGTCAAATAGCATGGAATAGTTCAACGATGTTCAACGCGTGGATTGGTTGGCCAATCCCCTTAAGGTGCCCCGCTCTTGCTTCGTCAATTCTGCCCGCTTTTTTGCAGGTTGGGTTTTTGGGGAGATCCTAAAATTTGTCAGACAGTGTGCTTTTGGACGAACACGCAAGGGATTTTGGAAGTTGTGCAGGAAGTCTAATTTATGGAAAGCCCTTTCTTCAGATTGTTTCAAGATGCTTTTTTGGATGTCCAGGGGCAATATTTTGAGGAAAAGGAAAAAAGGAAGGAAAAAGGCGTACGCCAGATGTTGGCAGGTTAGTGCTGTTTCGTTGAGTTGCGCTTACGCAGACGATGTCACGTTTTTTGTTTAATGACTCTGAAGGCACAACCCCGAAAAGTGGGTCCTTGGATATCTCAGTGTAGGGAGAGGGATTTGGAACCAGGTACTTGTAGTTGCAATGCATGGATGCAATTTTTGGATAATGTGTTTTCGACAATATTTTGGGCACTTGCAGCAGACATTTGCACTTGGATGTGCCCTCAGCTGCTGCTGGTTTACAAATTTCACCAAGCCTATGTCATGTTCTGCACTCATGGCTTCTGGTCTTTTAGAGGGTCCTCCTAGAAGTATATAATTATATGTTAATATATGTTATGTATTCGCGTGTGATAGAATTGCAGTACATGCCTACCCCACCTCAAGGAGAATCAGTACAACATAAAACATCTCTTGCCTCAGGACCTCCAACAAGACCTGCGGTCATGCCAAGTGCAGCGAGACAACGCTGCAGGTGCTTTCAAGGAGGTGGGCGCTTTCATTGAACTCAACCTGGTCGAAGTGGACAATGTTTGTTTTGTATTTTTGTGTGTCTTGTTTTGTCAACCAAAGAAAACACCAGATTTGACGTTTTGTGGTGTTCAGGTCTTGAGCAAGCAAGCGACCAGCGAGGCAGAGGCATCGACCTTCTTTCCTTCTGGGATCGTGGTGCGAGCGGTGTGACGTCTTCGTCGGTGTTTGGACCTCCCAGGTGGTGGCGTTTCTGCGCCAGGAGTATAGTGAGCAGCGACAGGCGCTCTTGGGCGAAGCGAGTGCAGAGGCTTTTGGCTGAGCCGCAGGGAACATGGGCAGTAGGCAATTTGCTAGATGTACATGTTCACAGGTAGTAGTAATTCACAAGCGGAACTCAGGTCCAAGCGTTGAGAAGTCAGGTCCAAAGCCTCCAGCCGACAGCCCAATCTTGGAGACCCTGACTATGAAAATTGGAGATTTGTTGTTCCTTTCAATCAGGCAAGAGAATGAGAGCCTCAAGCTAGAGGTCGCGATGAAGAATGAGGCGGGGAAACAATGCAAACAATTGAACCCATAATATGCAGATATATGCAGCATATTGGATCATATAATTTACAATATGTACAGGCTACTCCAAGAATCCTTGGACCCTCCAGCATTGAGACAAATGAACTTGTGAAGCTTGATGCTGTTTTATTTATTGTTGTAATGAAAGACAAACAAAAAGATACACAACTAATATGAAGCAGAAAAAGCAAAAACACGTATCATCGTTTTTGGGAGTACGAAACAATTATGGACAAACTACGAAGCATGAACAGCAATACTATGTCGTATTTGATTCATTTTTTTTGTTTGTACTGTGTTGCTTCCGTTTTTTTGTAAAACAGACAAACAGATGTACGAAAAAGAGTCATTTGCAGTGTTGTCATCTTGTTATCGTTTTTGTTACGCAAACAATTACGAACCGACATAGGAAACAGTGCCAACAACATACAAAATAGCTATTAGTGTTCACGTTTCCCACTTTTGTCCTACAGTTTCTGTATTTTTTTCATAATGTATTTTTCATATTCTTTTTCATATTCCCCAAAACATGGATTTCTGATTCGTATTTCAGGACTACTGTTTCTTTTTTTAAATGTATAATTATATATATATATATTAGTAACGTAACTTAATTGTTCAATCCCTGGAATCTGGAAGCTTGCCTGTATCTCTCGACCATAGCAGAGGACGGACCATTTCCATTTCAGACCCGGATTCTTAGTGTACAATAGACTGCCGTGTCCAGTTTCTTTTCTGTCAGTCAAGAGCCGGCCAAACGGTTTGCAGGCGAGGGAAGAGATGGATGTGGTGGTGTCCAAGCTGAGGCAATGCGAATTTCTATTAGACCTTTCTTCTTGTTCTTTTTCTTTGTTTCTAATAGCAATAGCCTCCAACCTACTAGCAATGGCCTCCAACCTACTAGCGATGGCCTCCACAGGAATACCATTTCTGCGAGATGACCGCAGCTTCTGCAATTAGGAGCGAGTATGAGGAAGAGAGCGAAGAGTCCTTGATGAAAGCTGTTCGACAGTTGCAGGCTCTGAAATGCAGGGACCAGCTGACCAGCTTGCCAAGTTTGATTTGCGCGTTCTTGTTTTGCCTTCTCTATCATGATACCATTTGTTCAGATGGCGGACGACTTGGTTGTGGGGCTACGGCGACGCGCGGAACAAGAGGCTGATGTGCATGCCTCTTGTCTTCGTGAGCTCCATCCTCGGATTCATTGAATCATATGTATCATATGAACATGATTTCGAGACTCAATGTCATCAAAGCTGTTGAAAGCTTATTGTGCTTAGTGAGTCTCAAGTCTTCAGGTTGACCGAAGCAAGGCGAGAAGTGGCGGAGGACGGATTGTTTTAAGGATATTGACGGTCCAAAACTCGCGTTTCAAAAAGATACAATCCGTTGTAGCAACTCACATCTTCCATGCCCTGTAGGAAGCAGCATGCTGTCGCCGGCTTTCGGCATCCAATGAGAGTCGCTCAGAACAGGAGTCTGCCTGAGTGAAGGAAGTGACATTGCATAGTGCAGCATTGCAAAAAAACAACGGCTTTGTGTACGCAGGGCGAAATGATTTCTGGGAGGCATCATGAAAAAGAACAAGCGCTTATATAATCATGCTAATTTCGCTCCGGCAAGGCTTGAAATTCAATGTATCCAGATGTATCCAGCCCATTCTATGATCATTCTCTATGGCCATTCTATGTCTCCCAGGAACTTTCCGATGTTTTTTGGAAAAAGAATGTCTCAGAGTTGCTAAGGCACCTCCAAGCTTCAGGGGCGACCTGAGCAGAGGTATCCACCAGGGTCGAAAACGCTACCAATGTTCTTTGCACTGTCCACAGTTGCCCACAGGTTCGGATCAGATGAACGAGATATACAGAGAACGACAAGAGGCGATCGTCGAACATTTGTGATTTGTTGATCCAAACACAGCCTTGATATGTTGATCCCTACCCATGTCTTACCATGGTCAATCGAGATGCTAATCCGTCTCTCAAGGCCATGGCCATCATAGAGCGACTCCGATCCCGTCAAGATGGAAGTCCCTCTCGCCACGAGTCGGTCGAGATGCTTTGGCCGCAAGCCCTGAGTAAGTTGCTGAAAACTTGCATTACGTTTGATTGTAGAGATCCGCTGTTGTGAAGAAGTAGAAAGACGATGACAAGAAAAGACAGAACAAGAAAGCTAAAAATAGAGGAAATAGCCATAGAATGAAACAGTAGGAACACATTGTGCAAAAGGACACCTTTTGTCCTTTTTGTCATTGTGGGCCAGCCCTTCTTGTCAGAGCAAAGCTCAAGAGTGTGCCGAGGCCCAGGAGTGGTTCCATCGGCAGTTCACCAGTGAGGCACACGCCTTTCAAGCCCACTGGGTAGTTTCTGACCGATTTTGCCCAACCTCAGCGATGCCCTAGTAGCGAAGCCCTTTGCTACTATTACTATTAGCTTATTGTTACTAGTAGCAAGAATGCCACTAGTAGTAGTGCCCTTGTTACTAGTAGCGATGCCATTGTTACTAGTAGCTTTTTGTTACTATATAGCAAGAATGCTACTAGTAGTCATGCCCTTGTTACTAGTAGCGATGCCCTTGTTACTAGTAGCTTCTTGTTGCTAGTAGCAAGAATGCTACTAGTAGTACTGCCCTTGTTGCTAGTAGCGATGCCCGTATTACTATTAGCTTATTGTTACTAGTAGCAAGAATGCCACTAGTAGTAGTGCCCTTGTTACTAGTAGCGATGCCATTGTTACTAGTAGCTTTTTGATACTATATAGCAAGAATGCTACTAGTAGTCATGCCCTTGTTACTAGTAGCGATGCCCTTGTTACTAGTAGCTTCTTGTTGCTAGTAGCAAGAACGCTACTAGTAGTACTGCCCTTGTTACTAGTAGCGATGCCCGTATTACTAGTAGCTTCTTGTTACTAGTAGCAAGAATGCTACTAAACTAGTAGTAATGCCCTTGTTACCAGTAGCGATGCCCTTGTTACTAGCAGCTTCTTGTTACTAGCAGCTTCTTGTTACTAGCAGCTTCTTGTTACTAGTA